CGGCGCCAGAAACAGAACTGCAACGTGCCTTGAGCAAGAGCTGCCCACGCAAAAAGAATTGCTATGAACCGTTCAGAAGTGGGCCCAAGCTCACAGAGTTGCTGAATTTGCGCCGAGACTGGGGTGGGCTTCACAAGATCGACCAGGATAAGGTTGACACTTGGCCCACGCTCAGATAAATGTTGTTCTTTGAATTCGAAGTTCTAGTTTAAAGAAGTGAGAAAACTATTTCTGCACAAACCCACTAATTGTAAGCAAGGTTTTTGACCGGATTCGGGAGCAGAAGAACAGTTCGCAACGCGAATGGAGCCTCCTTGGAGAGACAATTTGCCTGAAAGGATGGAAAAGACTCCATGGCATAGGCGCCACAGATCACGTTTCAGAAAGTCACCTTCTTAGTCGTAGTAAAGTAATTCCCAAATACCCTGAAACGGGTTTCATTTAACATGTCTTTCTTTTTTGATGTTTTTTTGGCATTGATTCAGGCTCACGGAGATTCTCGCGGATGGCCAAAGCTATTTCGGAGGGGCAGGCTGCGCCCCCAGTTGATTTGCGATATTTGAACAGGCGCTGTTGCGAAACTGAACTCAATTCTGGGCGTGCTGATGTGGTCTCGTTTCTATCTGATGTTTATGCATCAGTAGCTGAAACTCTCCCAGACTTTCGAGATGACACCTACGATTGTGAGACTACCTTGGAGCCTGCGACTGACGCCCATGGCAAAGACCCCTACGCCGAACTGGTTGCTAAATCTGATCCAGATGCTGCAGGGTCTTCTCAAGGTCCCTTGATTGGCAAAGCTCCCAAGGACAAGAAGAAGAAACAGACAAGACGTAGTGTTCAGACAAATCCAGGCAGAGAGCCTGGTTCTGGGGAGCTTTGTGAACGACGGTGGCTTCCACCAGGCCAGATGATGGATTATTACGAGATGTATAAGAAGAGACTTCGGTACAGTTCCAAGAAACCGGCTAGCTTTTCAACGTTCTGGCGGGTGTTTTGGATTGATTGTTGATGGTGTTTATTTCCAGGACATACGACTTCCAAAGTCTTTTAGTGTTCACAAAGTTCATATTTTTTTTATTAGCGTTTCCAAAGTCATCAAGGATCTTAGTTCAGAGAGGGTAGGAATAATATATAAGAGTTTGTCATCTTCTCAGGTTTGGCTGAGCGATTACAGTTTCATGACTTTCAGACCGTTGCGGCAACACCCAGAATGCACCACGTGCGTGAAACACAAGATCTTAATTCGCTCACTGGGGCACCACATTCATGCCAGAGTTCGCCAACAAGAAGAATATCACCAGCATCTTTCTGATCAGTACTTAGACCGAGTATGCTATTGGACGTCGCGAGGAAACGCACGAATCCCTGGCACCCACCAATTAACTTTGGTGGTGGACGGCATGGATCAATCAAAGTTCATGTGGCCTCGTCACCATTGCATGAAGACAAAGGAATTCGCTGCTTGGTCTCGCCCAAGGTGTCATGTGATCGGCGCTATTCTTCATGGCCGGAGCATACACTTTGCTGTGTCCCGGCCAGACCTACCTAAAGACGCGTCAACGCACTGTGAACTTGTGGCCTTCGTGCTCACCAACCTGGTGAAAGAGGACGGTCTTTGCCTGCGAGACTTTTCTTTGACATTGCAATGCGATAACACTTCTCGTGAATGCAAGAATGATGTAATGATGTCCTTCCTCGGATCACTTGTCTCCAAGGGTCTGCTGCCTTGAGCTGGTCTTGGTTTTTGATTTGACCGGGTTACCGTAAAGCTCTAATCCATATTGGACCGTTTACTTTGCAGGTTCAGACCTAACCTTTAGTTTGATTCTGAGGTATTTTGAGGGAAGCGTCCCTCTGTAACTTGCGCAGCGGCCACAGTCACGAAGATATAGACCAGACATTCGGACGACTATCCAAGTTCATCACCACACGGGCACGGACTGTGCAAACTCCTGGAGAGTTTGTGGGGGTGATCAATCAATGGCTGCAGCAAGCAGATTTCCCTTTCGAGCCTCCTTCTCACCGTCGTGCCTTTTTGATGGATCAAGCCCGGCATTGGTCATTTGTTGGCAATGTGCATGTGGTGGTTTTGGGGCTGTTGTTGGATAGGTGTTCGTTGTTATAATAAACCACTTAATAAACCTTAAAGTACACTATGATTATTTTGTTGTTACAGAACCAAGGAAGGGGTTCTTGGCCGAAGCCTTTCCAGTACATATCCGTGGAGTGGGCGGCCCGGGCGCTCCTCACGTGTTCACCATTCGTAGGAGAGGCGACTTAGGTCTCTCAACTCAACGCAGTCAGTAGACTTTTTCACCGTCGCACTACACTCACGTTTTGCACCGCAAACCATTATAATATAGGTTTGTTTTTCAAAGTTCTAGTGGCCATGCCACTATGTATGGTGAACTGCTCAGAAAAGGTATGGAGCCTGCCCACATCTCAGACAAGTTCTGGAAAGTGCCATTGGCTGAGCAGCATGCAAACGATCTCATTTTGCAGCTTCTTGACATCAAAGGAATTGTGTGGCCAACATTTTGGGGTTTGAACTTGACTTGATGTTTGTACGTAGGCTTAGAGACTCTGAACTTACGGGGCAAGTAGACTTGCAAGGACGAAGCGGTGGATGAAAGACAACGAGTACAATACCTGCTTGCTATACTTTCCTCACTCTGTGGCTGTCAAGACTTTGCCATCAGGAGTTCCAGCAGGAAGATGGGTGTAGCAAATTTGTTATGTTTGTAATATGTGTTTATCAAGTGTTTGAAGTATAGTTGTCAATAAACCAGGTCAACAAGTAAAGATCGGAGCTTTCATGAGAAAATGAAAACAACCCTGCAGTACCCAACGACAAGAAGATCATGTCCCAGGACCAACGTCAAGAAATCTTGAAACATGCACCACTTCTGAGGAATCCACTGTATGCTTTGCATGCTGCCGCTGACGACCTTGAATCTTGGGTGAACGGCCGGCTTCTGCCTGAACCATTGCTAGATGTATCGGTGTGCCTTCACCGGCATTTAGCTTTCAAAAGAATCAGGTAGCATGATTGTATGATTGCACTGCCTGATTGCGTGTCAGGTGCACTGCCGTGGGCCGCCCAGAGCCTTCGTCCTTTTCGGTGCCCCTGTCAGAGAATTTTGAAGGGAAGGAGAACGTGCTAGGGCTTCTCAGCTGTAAGTAGGAGCTTTGGTATTTTTTGGTTGTGGATTTCCTTCTTTTCGAGGCTTGCCAAGCCAAGTGGCGTTTCAGTCGCCATCCAGACTTACCGGAAGAAGTCAAAGGACAAGCTAGTTTTGGACATGGCCGCCAAGTGCTGGGGCCAAGGGATTGAATGGAACGAGGCTTTGAAGATAGCGCAGAATGCTCAGAAGCGAATTGCTGAGAGAGTGGGTCCTAGAAAGGGAAAAGGAAAGGGGAAATAACACAAAAACAACTGCTTTGCATGTTTAGTTCAACTTATGTTATTGTTCAAGCGTTGTTTCAAAAAACAAGATGACTTCCCCTCTTCCTTTTTGGATTTGCTTTTTGCTGCTATGCGCGAACCGGGTGCCCATTGGCGGGAAATGCCACGGACTTAGACACTTTGAAGAGCCTTACTTGCAGTGTTGTCCTCCCATGGAAGTGCTTGCCTATAACTAACTGCAGGTTGGAAGTTGGAAGTGGGCATGCCTTTTGCATCCTTTTGCCCAAGCCTGCTACTTAGTGTAGTGGACACTTGAGTGTTTAGTAGATGTCCCAGAGCTGTGACAGGGCAATTGGCTCAAAATTCAATGAGGAGGCGGGATTTCTTTCCAGGCATCATTGTGACATTGAAGCATGTTATGATCGTGATGATGACGGTTAATAAAATGCAGCTGGCCCAAACGGTTCATACACTGGCGTTTGCCTGGCGGGTTGTAACACCATGTCGTGCTTGCCGCCTGTCCTGGCTATGTGCTTTTCTAAGTTGTTGTGTTTTTCTGTCCAGCTTTTCAATCAAGAGGCGACTTTTGCGACTTTGCGACTTTGTAACTACTACTTGGAATGCTATTTAGGTCTGATGAAGAGGACATGGAGACTTCCCACTCACGCACAGAGCCGGCGCCAGTAAAGGCAAGGAAACCCAAACGTTTACACTTATAGTAGACTTTTATAGTTGCAGCTCGGCTCGATATTGAGTGAATCTCTTTCGACAGGCACCTTCAGCGGTGAGAAAACGAGTTCGGAAGCAACGGAAGGCTTTGCGTGACACAAAATGAAAGTCGAGTAGCATTGGCAGCACTGTTTTTTAAGGTTAAAGTTAAAGCTAGTCTTTTTTGATGCCAGGTGCAGAAACCTAGAAGATCGCAGGGAAGGGACAGCAAATTTTGCTATGCAATGGGTGAGAAGACTAAGACCCTGAAGGCCATATGTTTACCAGCTTGTGCTTAGGTATACGCTGAGTTTTGTTTTCTTTTCTTTTGGCCAGTTACCCCGCCACGGATTTATCGACCGAGATGGATACCTCCACACGTCAAGAGTTGAATTGGCAGCAGCGCCAAACTTGGCTATCAGAATGGTTCCAAACTCAGTTCTATGCCACGAAACCCAAAGTTTCTGTTAAAATACTCTGTCGTTCGCAAGGCGTGCAAAGCCTCCCCCGGAAGAAAGGAGAACGGCGCCGAACGCTTTCATGGTTCCAAAACGATCCAAGCATGGAGCACAATCCGTGGGGGTCTTATGTCTTGAGTTTGCCAAATCAGTACATTGTAGTAAGTCAGATCTTGCCAGGCTGTTTCAGTTCCAGCTTCATGGTGACCAAATCAGAGATCAGCGTCCGGGGTTCCTCAGTGTTAGCCTCATCTTCTTTAGGGTGCTTCTGTATCAGGCTTCTCTTGCAATAATGAGTGGATGTTTGACCGAGGATTTGGCAAACCAAATACTTCTTTGTGAGCCTTACCAAAAGAAGATCAAGGAGCTGGGCTTGTCTGCTGGGACTTTCCTAGCAGTTGAAGCCGGTGAATGGCTACAAGGCCATGATGCTGTTTGATTTCTTATATATACCTAGTTGATGAGATTGAATTGGGCATCAGGCCTGCCAAGGGGATGGACTTCGGCTGAATCTGGGGCTGTCAGCCCGTGTGCGCTAAACGTGTTCAACAAAGTGGGCCTTCCGGACGGTGTTTTTCTCTAAGTGTTTGCAACATGTCCAGTAAAACCTTGTCGTGACAAGCGCTTGGCAGGACCACCAGAAAATTGAGTGCATCTCACTTTTCTCTGGAGTCGGAGGCCTGGAGGTCGGAGTGTCTCCGCGTGAGCCTTAAAGAGTCATTTGGAGCTCAGTCATTGTGCAGATTTTGCTATTAGCGGCTGTCAGTCCTCTGCTATTCCCAGGAGACTGGCTCAAACAATCTCGATTAACAATCTCGATTCCTGTTTGAAGTGACCCTCTCGCCTTGATGGAACCTGCTAGCGAATGGCAAACCGTGCGCACTGTGGGCATCAACCAGATTCGGTGACTTGGAATCTAGAACATGGCTTGTGAAACCGGCCATCATTCTGTTCGGTACCCGTGGTATGCTACCGTTTTTACATCTTTCTGTGACTGGATTTGAAGCCATGATGATATACTAAGTAGCTTTCGCTACCATCGCCCGTCGCACGGCTTTCAGAGGTTCATTGAAGAGAAAATTATTACGCATAAATTGCATGTGGGTCAGTGTTCGGCGCCTTATTGTCTGGAGGTTTGATTGACAATCTTTGGCTTTTCTGTTTCATGTGAGTCCCACCATTCATTCATAGATATCGTACGGCTTAGGGTGGCGGCGGGGACAGAAGTCTGGTGCAAATGGCATGGGTCTGTGTGACTTGCCTTGAGAATTCCTGTCAGGGTTGTCAGCTGCAAACTGAAACGCGTTGACACCAAGTATGGTATGTCTTGCGGTTCTCAGGTGGTTCTGGAATGGCAGCGAGTGGATTCAAATCAGCAATGCAAAACCCTTGCCAGAGTCAAAGTGGGATAGCCCACAGAGACCCCAGGGTGAGGCTGTCAACGCAAACCCTGTCTCTGGAACGGGGCCGCGACTGGGTTTGTTTTAAGATGCAGGTTTTGTGACGTTTCAAGACTTCTGTGGATTCAGAGCTAAGCTACCGTTTTGAATCTTATTCCTTTGATTTGATGAAACCAATTGTTGAATTATTGGACCCTCCTTTGGGCCAAGGACCCAGTGATGCCATGAGATTAGCAGCTGGTAGAAAGGACAGATCAATACTTGTTTGGCAGCTGCTACCGTCGAAGGAAATAGCACTTAGCTGTGACATTGGCCAGCGGCTGCAATTTGAACGGCTTTTGAACTGCAGCTTTGTTTCACCACTGCTTGGCTCATCTTCGCGTGTCAGTTGCTGCCAAGGTGGCTCCGTGCTGTGGAATTTGTTATTGGCTTAGCACGTTGAGTACAGATTCAAAAATCAACTTGAAAGCTTCTGACTCAGGTAGAATCCCATCCCTACTGTCGCTCAGTTCTTGCTGCAAGAATGCGAGATAATACACTCCCTGTGTGTTCTATTGTTGATGATGTTAAAGGATATGTGCCGTCGCCGCGTGCACGGAGGGCGCGTGCCGTCTTGGCGGGATTTCCATGCCAAGTTTGCAGCTCAGAATGATGTCAAACCAATAACATGTCTATTTTGGATGGTTTTGATTTGCGCTGAGGACGTGTCTCAAGCTGGATTCCAAGCCGGAGTCCATGGCAGTCGCAGCAGCCTAGTGGGTGAAGCCTTCAAAACATTTGATTCTTTTCCAGAGGGGTTGACACCTTAGTCAGTTGTGGCAATACATATTGCACCTCAGACTGATGTTTGATTGAAGGAGTAAATAGATTTTGTTTGAATCATCATTTTGCTATTTTGCTCTAACCAGCCGCTTATACCCTGAAACCCAGGGAGTTTCTCTTGCTCGAGAATGTGGTAGCGCTGATCAGCCGTCAAGAAGAGTGCCGCAGGTTGTGGTGCCGGATTGCCAAGGCCGAATCAAGAAAACTTTTTACTCACTCGTTATTCTGGCGCGCCAAGTCAAACAAGATTCTCACAGCAATTTCTCACATTCCAGTCTATGCATATCAGATTACCAGCCAAAAGACATCCCTAATCCAGGCTTGCCGGGAACGAGGCCTCGACCTTTTCTGGACATGCAATTCGTTGCGGCATGTGGGCTTATCAGCGTGGGCCCAAGGACCAACAAATCGTTATGATGTGTGTTGAATTAAACTTTGTTAAGAGATGTTAGGAGCGTTTTGCAAAGTTTAAGAGAGCGACCAAAAATGAAACAGACTGGTAATTACGTTTCCCTGTTTGTTTGATGTGGAACTTTTCAGTTTATAGATTCTTCAGGCTGGACGTTGCCGTGTCTTCCTGCTTGCAATCCGCCGTCACGCACGTCATCGTTTTCCTCAGGCTCCGATTTGTAAGCTAACTTGTTTTGACTACCAAAGCTTGGTGATGATTCGGTGGTGATTAGGTTATTTGTTTTATGCAACGTTCAATAATCATGACATTTCAATGAAGCTTCAAACGCCGTCTGGCACCAGTGCTTGTCTGACAGGAGGCCTTTCCTTCAACCCGCTTTTGGCTTGATCAGCCATCTTGGAACCAGAGCAATGCAGTTGAAATTCACAGGTGGTTGGTCCGTGAAAAGGCATCGGATTACAAGCCACGTATGGAAACCCTGGGGAATGTTGCGGTTCCCCAACAAGCCTTTCTGGCCATGACTGTTTTTGCAAAGATCTTGTTGGCAAATTCAACTTAGTAGTCTATAGTGACAAGTTGATGTGAGCTGGCAGCCGTTTACTGCTGAGATGGCTAAACTGATTGTCGGGTTTAACCAAACAGAACGGTGATTTGGCTTGCAGTTGGCTCACTTGCCTTGAAATTCGGCAGTCGTTTCTGTGGCGAGTCCCAACAACATGCTCACCGCAACAAAACATCCCAAGAAATTGAAGGCCTTGTCCTGGAGATTTGAATTGATCCAACTTGGTTCCATAGTGTGAAGCATGGTTGTTGGATGGTCCGGGGTACAACCTCTGTGACAGGTTGCAAGCTTCAACATGCCTTGAATAGAAAAGGTGATTTTGGAAGTTTCTTGACTTTGTTGAATCAATGCAAGAGTCAGTTTCGTAAGGCGTTCTTCTTTTCAGGCCGTTTTTGAAGGATGTCGTGGTCCAATGCCCCATCTTCGTCCGTTCGTACGTTTTCACACTTGCAGCGGATGGCAGGCTTCACTCGGGCGCTGAAAATACTTCAGCGCGGTTCCGAACTCAAATTTCATCGAGTGTCTTTTCTTGGTTTTTACTGGGAAATCATTGTGTTTGACTTTTCTCTCCACGGACCGTTGCGCCCTTCCACCCCAAAAAAAACATCTTGTTTCAAAAAAGTCAAAAAATTTGGGTGCGGCATGGTATTTAAGGGGGTCTCCCTCTTTGTGGATTGAAATTTGGACACTAGTTGGCTTCACGAGGCAAACACCAACCAGTGTTGAATCCGAGGTCGGATCCAACACTCCTGCCATACCTGGGACCAGGCCAGAAACTGTGGTGGATGAATGGAGGGTTGTGATGTTCACACAGCTTATCTCAATCAGTGTTGGATCCGAGGTCGGATCCAACACTCCTTCCATAATGTTTGGGGTGGCTCCAAAGCGTTGGAAACGTATCTTCAGATTTTTTTGATCACCTGTGTGAACTTAGAAGTTCAGTGCGTAACATTTGACCTAGTGTGGCAGGAATGAAGCTTCCCAAATGCAGCAGTTTCCTTGCTCAGGAAATGTTTGACGAGTTTGTGTGACATGTTTGATAAGTATGGCAGGGTTTGAAAGCTATGATGCGAACACATCTGTCATATTTTGAGATAGTGTCACTAGTCGTACGTTGTGTGGCATCACTTGGGCCATGGCGGCATCAGTGACTTCAGTGTTGTTGGTTCACTATGAATGGGGCAAGCTTATTGTTGGTGGATTAAAGACCTGGGAAATACGTGGCTTTAGAAGCAGCAAAGTTTCTCAACGCATTGGCATAGCATGCAATGCAAAAACATCGCCTACAGGACGCCCCCTTCTTCTTGGAGAGGTGTACTTCAATGCTTGCTTTGTGGTTGCCGAGAACAAGCTTGGATTCGTAGCGCCTTCAACCGATTTCCCAGAAAACTTCCTCCTCCTGCAAGTGCACATTCCAAAACACCACATTAAGACGGTTGATGATTTTCCTGCTTTGAAGACGTACAAGATTGTGTATGCGTGGGAGTTCAGTGATGCTGTAGAGTATGAGAATCCGGTGGAACTTCCAGCGAAGTCTGGGCCTGTAGTGTGGCTTAATTTGTGAGAGATGCGGGGGATCGTGCCAGGAGAAACAAATCTTGGCCAGGGTTTGCCATCGTGTTCTTTTTGCCAGGGTTTGCCATGTTGGCAGACAGAGACAAAAACAAAAACCTAATAAAAAGGGTTCCCTTTTTTGCTTAAAATATGGTGACCCTTTTTGGGGGTATCGCGTTGTCCTTTTTTTTTTTTGCCCGATGGCGTCCTTTGCCAGGTGAATGGGCCGTGACAACCATGGCAATGGCAACGCCAAAAACCTCAAGGGTTTTGGAGACAAATGCGCACAGTCTGACAGGTTAAATGTTGATTGTCACAGCCTGTGTCCTTCCTTTGTGCAGGCGTCGGACGCGTGTTTTGTTTTGTACCTGACCTGTACCTGTGGCTCATAGACGGACGCGGGTGAGAGTGTTTGGCACGATGGCGCCACGGCGCCGAACTTCTGGGCAACAGCCCCTTAAGTTCTTGAAATTGAACAGCGCAGCCAACCTTGGCGACGTCGAAGCCGCATCGACTGTTGTCAAGAAAGTCACGACTTGGTTACTTGTAGCAAGCAACATGTGATTTGTGATTATGGCCACTTCAAACCTAACAGGGGTACTAAAGTATGAAGATCTAAGGTTGCAGGACAATGTCATCGGTATCGGAGGGCCAGATCTTTATTTGGAAAAAACCTACAACACGGAGGCATGGTGATGCAACAATCCTTCCGACTAGACTTATGGTTTTGACCAGTTTCCAACTAGACTGTGAAGGCGGCCAAGTTGGACTTTGCGAACTGGCTCAACCAAGCCTTTCCTCCTGATGATAGGCCACAATCAGAGTTTAACGGAGCTTTGGCCACATCCGTTTTTGATTGGAGAGGCTTGTGTACTCTGGAGAACCTCGGCAAGGCCCACAGGTGATTCGACCCTGGAACCTGGCATGGAGGGCTGACTTTGGCCTGAGTTCATTTATAGAACCAGAAGAGTTGACCCTTCTGGCAGAACTGTACCTGATGGAAGGGTTTCTAGGACCAATTCTTTGTTTTTAAACGCACATGCTTTCGGGTAGCTGTTATCAGGTTGAGATTTCCAATTTCAGACCATGGCATCAAAACACAAGTTGCCATTAAGGTTTAAGACCAATTCAGATTATTTTGCTGGAGTCGAACGGTTGGCGATCGTGGTGAACCCAGACTCCGCTTTCCTTGAGAAACCATACTGTGAGCTTCCTCGCCTGGCAGACGCAGGCAAGAATACTTGAATTTATTTGAGACTTGAGACCTTTATGTTCACCAAAATCTGTGTGTTGACGACCTGCCAGGAGATCTTCTTCCACCTTTTTCTGTCGGGTACTTGAAGGGTTACCGCCGATCGATCACCGCGCTCATTGTTGCAGAAGCCGTCCGGCGTCTCAACATCATGGATGAAGTCTCAAGCAGTTACAAGGATTATCATGAGTTTTTATCTTGAAATGTCTAGTGATGCCTGTTCTCCTTCGACTCTTGACTGACACTTCTGGGTTGGAACTTTCTGTCAGGAGTCGATGTGCGCGATCTATACCACGGTGGGCAGTCATGCTCAAGTTCAAGACATAGTCTTGGAATCTAGAGGCCTTGCCAACAGGTTTGCCTTTTGCGAACTTTTGGCATTTTGTTTTATTTCATTTCCGTCCAGGAATCACAATGGGCAGCACAAGTACCAGAAAGGCACCTCACTGTTTTAACTTCATCCGCCAAATGCAAGTGCTTGGACGTGCTGGTGTGCAGGGCGAAGCTGCCGAGGTTTTTGGATGGCAATCTAACTGTGTTACAAAGTCGGTAAGGGTTCCATACCATGTGATTCTAAAGGCCACTGTTGCCATTGCTAGTTTAAGGCGCCAAACTCAGCCTTAGGTATGGGAGCTGGCCAAAGCCTATGGCATTGGAAAGAACGAGTCCTTAGCAGTGGTTCAACTCTTGAACCATGTGCCTGAACCAGTGCTGACGGCTTTGCAAACTGCAGTCAGAACGAGAGGAATGCGACCGTTTTTGCTCCATGAGACTATCGGGAAGCAGGTCTTCAGCAAGGGCTTTTCTTCCGGTTCAGGGCCGCTTGCTGTGTGGGAAGGGCCCTTGACGAATCTGGATGACGGTGAGTTTCATTTGGTGGCCTGGTTTATGTGGTTTGTGTTGCTTTAAAAGACTTTATCCCTTGACTGTTTGAAGCGCTGGGCAATAGGAATAGTCTCACATGTTCATATGATTTCTTTGCATGATATCCGCAGTTTCTAGGTGATGCTGTTGATCAAGCGCATGACGCTAGACTGGGACAAACTCAACCCTGGGATTCGCAAACCGTGGAATGCCAAAGACACCATTTGTCTTCACAGCGCGTGCGGCGGATTCCTGCACTTCACCTCAGAGTTGCAGAAGAAAATACCCAAAGCCGACTTTGATGAGGTGCTTCCAGGTTTGATTGAGCAGTTCATGTCGGGTTTCCTGGATGTGGAGATCAATCAGGTGCTTGAGACGTGTGCGCCTCCACTTCGCATGGATGATGTGGGGTTTCTGAGGCAGGGCCTGCTGTGAATTTGCTATGTTTATTTGTGGCGCATTTATTTGTGGGGCTTTGTTTAGTTTTATGTTTGCCGGTTTTCATGTTTCTTTATATAGATATGAATTTTTGTTGGGAATGTTATTCCATGTTTTATGTCGCCAGGGGCGTTTTCCGGCAGATTGAACAACGCCTTTGTCTAGAAGTTGAGCAGCGCGATCGGGAACTCGCCGAGAAGGTGGCGTGGGCTACCTTAGCACAACTCCAACAAAAGCTGGACCAGGACATGAAGCTCCTTTGTGATCACCATCAACCTTCCAAAGAAAAGGATGCCCGAGACGCTGCCCTTGATGTTCGGTACCTTCAAGCACGGCAGCAGATGTTTGGCGGCAGATTTTTGAAATGCCATATCTTTCGACAGTCACTAATATATACGTCGTTCTGTTGGCACAACGTAAAGCTATAGATGGTGGTGAGCCCTGGGAGCCCTCAGGCTTTTGGGGCTTTGTAGGTAGATCTCAGACGTCGCCTACCTTTTTTTCTTTTTGTCCTTCCCCAAGGAAGGGGCAGGCCTACACAAGAAAATGGATGGATGAGCAGTGTAAGCTGTTGACCGTGGATGACACCTCTCACGCCGTGCGGGATGTGGTGCAATTCCTGGGTGATTTGAAGCCAGAAGGAGGCGATGTGCGACTAGGTTGAGTTTGGACATTCCAATTTTGCAGCAACAGTGGTGCGATATTACTCTAAAATCATGAGGGGATGTGTGATTTTCAGTCGACTGTTTTTGCCCAGACAGCTTTGCTTATTTTCTTTTCCAAGGTATTGTTTGGCCTTGATGGACACAACCGTGTTCCCATCGAATGCCAAAGCTTTGACCAACTCCATTCAGTGCATGTCGACCATTTTGGCTATGAGCAACAAGCACCTTGGGCATGTGCAACTCCCCATTGCCCAAGCCAGCGCGAACACAACGGCGCTGATCTCTCACCGAAGGAAGCTTGAAGATGGTCTGGTGGGTTGCCGCCTTGACACGGCAAGTTCAGTTGTGCTTCAGTTTGCCAAACCATCGGACTCAACGGCCTCCGATCGACGAGGCGGTATCCAGAATGGCTATGTTTTAGCCCAAGACCCCAAAGCATGTTTGTGGGAGTATCCACAAGTGATTGGGCCTTTGAGTCTAGTGCGCGTATCTGACATGCTTGGCTACGACCCGGACAGCAGACCTAGTCCGAGCGCACGAGCAGAACAGAAACTCAAGCTTTGAGTTGGATGTTCTTATATTATGTCTTTTTTGGTCTTTCTAAGTTGTAATTGTTTACAGCCCTGCTGATATGTGTTGCTTTTCAGCTGACTTGATTTTAGGAAAGGCCTTCCTGCGCATATTGCAATCCTTGAGTCCTATGCTGCTGGCATCACCCTCAAGGAGAAGGATGAACTTTTGATTTTGGATCTGCTTCCAAACAGGCACATGGGGAAGTTGTCTTTTTGAAGTGCCCTTTTTTGATGACTTTGGTGAGCTAGAACCCAACTTGTTTCTCCACAATTCACACAGAAGAGATTTTGTAGGTGGTTGGAATTTGGCCGCGCCGTGGTGAAGATGAAGCAAGAGGGAAAGGCAACGAATTGGCGCTACATGGGGTTGATCCGGGAACAGCACAAAGACATGGTTCAACTTGTGGAAGAGTCCGTTTACACCGCCTGGGACTCGTCAAGCGCAGCTCCTCCCAAGATCCGGCCACGAGAGGAATCCGCAGACCCCACCTTGTGCATTCTACTATGGGAGAATGGTGCGCCAAAGCTCCCCAGCTCCATCTTGGAGAAGTTTCCTCGTGGAACGGATCAATACAACAAGATCATGGAGTATGAGAAGGACCTCAAGCGGCTTTGGCCAGCAGCAAATGATGCTGCTGCGCTGCCACGCACCACAACAGCGTCCAGGGCTCCCAGTCGAGCTGCCGGTGTGCCAGACTTCTCCGGAACCAGGCTTTTGGATTTGAACCGCGAGGTGGACCTGGTCACGATCCCGTCAGCGAGCTTCTCAGAAGAACGGTGCCACAGCTGCGTTCAGTGTTTAAACATTTTAATTTTGTTTTGATGTGTCTTGTAGTACCAAGGTTTGACAATGATTGACAATGATTCTATTTTTTGATTCCATGCAGGCTTGCACTATGCCCTGGGAAACCAGGGAAACCTTCCATTGTGATCTCCAAGTCCTTCGGAATCTTCCTTGGCAACTTGTCTGCTGATGAGCTTGTGGTTCCAGCCGGCGAGCTCTTTGGCTTCAACGTTGGTGCGTTTCAAATGCAGATCATTTGCGGCTGCTCGAAGTATTTGGCTGACCAATGTTTTTCTTTTAGGTATGGGGAATTACGTGGAGCTGGCTCAGGCTAGATTCTATGCCTATGTATTGTATGGTGTTTTGGCGTTCTAAGGTACTGGACAGCACGAAACTGCTTTGCTCCCATGGCGCTTGGAGAGTGATATGACGTTGGTCTCGTATGAGAAGGAATGCATGCCGCTCTGCAGCTTCCTTTGCAAAATGGCGAAAGAGAAGGGCATTGCTGAGTTCGCGGTGTGGGACCACGAGATTGAACCGCTTATGCAGACCGTTTCTTTCCAAAGATTCTGAAGTAAAGTTTGAAGATTTTGGAAGTTGAAATAATTGTTATCGGCAGTTCAATTTGTTTCTGACATCACCCAAGGTTACTGAGGATGGCAAAGAGGTCAGCATGCCAGTGCCCTACCGTTACAATGTGCGCTCCACGGAGTCGCTCAAGCGCAACTGCTTCAAACCCAATCCGCTGGGCTCCACTGATGCCGAAAACCATAAAGCGGGAAGTTTGGGCGCCGTATTCAGCGGCAACATGAATCATGTGCTCAGGCAGGAAAACTGCAAGCATGCTGCCTTGGTTTGGGAGGTGCCTGTGACCAATTGCAATGCTTAGTATAAAGTTGATTTTTGGTTGACGTGTGATGTTATGTTATATAGATCATTGATCTGGGTTTCTTGATACGGTGCTATTTTGTGTTATTATGTTCGATGGGTGATTTGAGGTTCAGATCCAGACTGGTGGCTCAACGCCGAAAGTCATCCCGGCGAAGCCAAAGTTCTACCTGACCGCCCAAGTTCGTGTGCCGCCTTCCACGTTCGTCAAGCTTTGAGTGGGGCCTTGGTGGTCACCATGCTTAGCAAAGCCGCCGTCGGCTGACAGCCTGGCAAGTTTTGATGATTAAGCTCGCAGGGCCAGAAATTTGGGATGGCCAAGTTTGAAAAGGCAAGCCCCGCGAAATTGTTGCTTTTGAGCCCTGGCCAAAGAAGGGTCACGTTTGTAGAAAGCTGGGCCGATCTTAGTTTTTCAATAGTCTTGACAATTGATTTTTGTAGCTTAGGGATGTCCGCGAAGAAGGTATCTTTTTGTTATTAGGTCCAGGTCCTGGCTTTTGTTTTGGCTTCCAAATGAAGCTTTCGGAAGCAAGTCAATATGATGAGGAGAATCCTCGCATTCGCATTGCTGGCAGTTCAAGAAGTAAACCTACAGCGGAAAACAATCAGAGATTCTGCTAAGTAGTCGGCTTAGAAACACTGTGCAAACAGTGGTGATAGAATGAATGCGCCGGCTTATCTTTTCAGCCTTTAAGTCGGAAGTGGAGAGTAACGGAAAGTTAGCCTCGAGATCCTGCGACGCATCATGGCTAACGACGGGGTGCTGCCCAACATTTCCAAGCTGAGTTCTGAGGAAGAGGACCCCATTTTTGAAGGGCTCGCGTAGCTTTTTCTCTAAACAGCATTGCAATAGAAGTTGCTGTAACAATATTTTCAGAAGCGGCGCAAAACACAATTTTTATCTGTCTATTTGTGTTTGGCGTTAGGATGGTGGAGCTGGAGCATCAGTCAAACAACACGCAAAGCCCAAAGCAAAATCACAGCCTTCTCAGCCCGCAGCCAAAAAACAGCTCCCAAAGAAAAAGGTTGCCAAGGAATCTAAAGGGAACACAACCCCGCCCCCAGTTGAACATGTGAGCCGTGAGAAATCAGAACCCAAAGCAAAGGCGAAGGCCAAGTCAATTCTGAAACCAACTTCCAAGGGCCAAGCAAAGGCCAAGGCCAAAACCATGCCAGCAGCCAACAGCATGAAGCGCCCAGCTGCAGCAGCTCCCTCATCACCCAAGAAGTCCCGGGCATCAGAGCTGGAAGGCCTTGTTTTGCATCCTTCATTCTGAATCTCATTTGTTTAAGACAGTGCAGTTCAAACTTAACCCAGCAGGCTCCTCCACTGCTCAAGGGCAGACCGTTTCCGCGGTCTACTACTACAAGTCCAGCAACATTTTTGGGATCAAGGTTGGTGGACAAGAGGTGATCAAAATTGGCGGCAAGTACCTTGACACGGCGCGCAGCAAGGATGCCTGCGTGTGGGGCCTAATCTTCTGTTTGATACGCCATGTCAGGGAACAATGGACCATATCAGTGATGGACATGTCAAAAAATAGCTATATGAGTCATATGACTGCTACTTTGGCCCTCGTCCAGTCACTGTTTCGAAGAGGTTTGTCAAGCTTCAAGTGTCTCATCTTTATGCTGACTGTTTTTCAATTGCTGACGAGGAGATTGTGCGACAACACCTTGTCGCTGGAAGTACGATCGCTTACTGCCAGGAACTGGCTGTGCTTTGCTCAGTAGATGGAGGTGAGATCCAAGGATTTTTTAATATAGTTCATTCAAATTTGAAGACCTTGTTCAAGGCCAGCTTGAAAGCCCAAGTGCCAGTTCATGAAACTAGCCAGCTTGGAGGAGGAAGTTCAGGACCGGCCCGCATGTTCCGAGGCCCTTTTTGTCAAGTTGAACACTTACCTATATAGCGTTGCCAGGCTCAAAGTCTGGCAAGAAGGACGCAACTGCTGCTCCAAAAAAGGCCGCTGAGCCTGCCCATGCTGAGGCTGCGAAGCCTGACGATGTGCCTGAAGACATGGAGCCAGAGGGAGGCGAAGAGGAAACACCAGAGGTGGATTGCGAGGAGATGGCTGTAGAGTCTGTAGACTAGATTTGTCAGCCTGGCAGACCACAATGATGGCTTGGCGCGGATGCTGTGAAAAGTTCTGAGAGTTGTGGAGCACTTGGGGCCTAAACGGCATTTTTATGATAGAACGTACGAGTTTCCCAAAAACAACTGGCCGCAGGGCAGGGGCAAGTGTTTTGTGGTTGGGGGTGCTGACCATGAGACTAAGTACTTTTAGCTGGGTTGTAAGATTTGGGAATGGCAGGGGTTTGAAGGCGCCTTCAAGTTGCATTTGTTTATTGAACACGCTCTCCGTGTGTGTGTGTGTTTGTTTTTTGGGTGAAAGGTAATTGTATTACAGATTGAGCAAAGCTTATTATATCGATGGGATGCCGTTTAGAGGACACATATCGAAAAATGAACATTAGGAAGGGTTGCGCCCTTTTGCGCAAACATGCAAAAATATGGTCAATAAATAACGACAATTTTGTGATAGGGGCTCAAGGCTGACGAGTTCTGGCCGCATGGGTGATACTGTTGGATTTGTGCAACCCCTGGCGGAGATGGCCATGAATGTCCAACAAGTTGTTTGGCAGCCCAAAGCTGCTTCACTGCTTCATCATGTCACCTTGTAAGCCAACCGCCAGGTATACATGCCTGGAGGCAAGAAAATGTCTATTACCCCAAAAATTATATGACCGAAAGCAGCCACATGGCTTTCAAATTTGGATGGGGGACCAGCCACGATCTCACCCGTCACATTTTAAAATGTGATGTCTCGAGCCAGCTAGGTGGCATGTCTCAAGCCAGCTAGGTGGCAAGACCACAAGTTCCTCAACCCACATAACACATTTAAGCTGCTGTCTCAACCCACTAGGTGGCAAGGCTCCAAGTTCCTCAAAGCACATAACAGACTTAAGCTGCTGTCTCAAGCCAGCTTGGTGGCAAGACCCCAAGTTCCTCAAAGCACATAACAGACTGACACCGCAAGACCCCCATTCACTTTGGGACCCCCTTTTCAAAGAAAAGCCTTTCAAGGCGATCTCGCCCCTGCGGAGGAGGAGCCTGAAGAGTTCGTGCCACCCGAAACCCTAATTGCCCAGGCATCATCTACACCCAATAGTCCTCCCCTATCCACTAATAACCTGTTTGATCCACTTGGTGAAGACGAGGAGTCCTCCGCTGAGGACGCTGTGGAAGAAGGGATTGCGCAACGCATCCAAGAGCAGTACGACTTGGAGGCAGCGCTGGAGGAGTCAGCCCGGATCGCAGGCGTCGAGCCGGAACCGGCTGACTTGGGTGTCGGTGAAGCCGCTGCCATTGGCGCGGGAAAGGGGGAGAGAGACCGCACCCGTAGGAGGGGGTGCCGTGCCGGCGCCAAACACGTCGCGGGCCGTGAAAACCTCTCCTATGGGCAGACGTGTGAATACATCCGTGCACAGCTCGGTGATTCCACTTATGCGCGGTTCGGCCGCCGCTTCAATCTCCCTCACATTCCCCCACAAGTGGCCCGCAAGCAGTACCCAGAGTGGTTCGGATATGTTCTTCGACATTCTGAGAGGTGGGCGTCTGATGCAGAGGGAGAGCTTTTGCCAGTGGACACCATCACTCGATGGGCGACCATCCTGCCTGAGCTGTGGCAGTTCCTCTATTCGATCGACTCCACTTTGCTGCAAGGTATCCCACAGCCGAAATACAGACTGCCTAGGGGTTATTGGAGCTCAGACCACCCGTTTGTGCCGCTCCGCCATGTGCGCTCGACTGACACTAAAGTCGCCCCTCCAAGAACAGTCTTTAATTCTGGTTCGACTGCTTCCTCTTCGGCCGCACCGCCCCGCACCGATCGATCTCGCTCTGCTGCCCCTAAGGCCACTTCGGGATCATCCTCCGCGGTCAGTGCAGCGATAGCCACGGCTCCTTGGCGTCCCACGCTTGACCGTGGGCATGTCCCGATCGTCTTGACACCTCGTTCGCAGGTAGAAGCAAAGGCCACCAAGGCCAGTGCCGGAAAGTCAGTGACAAAAGGGATTGAAACAAAGCCAAAGTCTGTAGCCGCAGGGCCGAAGTCTAAGCCAGCCGCAGCCTCTGGCGCGGGCGCCTCGCATTCGTCCAGTAGCCTACCTGTCCCACCTAGTCCACCCCCAAAGGTCCCGCCGGTCCCGTCACCGCAGGCCAAAGGGTCGACTCAAGTCAAAGCTGGGGCTACGTTTGTTGAGGTTCCCAAGCCATCATTGCCTATTCGACTTCCACCTCCGCCGAAGGGTCCTGCACCAAGTCTTCCGACAGCAGCTGACCATCAGGGGGGGGCATCAGTCTGTCGTCCCACTCGAGCCACCTCCGTCCATCCCATATGGTGACACAGAACCGCTTGATGCTCCGGGTCCTAATGAATATAGCTACCGTGGCCCACTTAAGCCAATGATCCCAAAGTGGACACGCAGCAATCCCGAGCAGATTCCGGTTCTTCGACCTGTCAAAGCAGTTCCCCCTGTTCCTCCCGATGCTGACCAGCTTGTCATGAGCGCCTTGCAGCAGCAAGACGCCAACCTCGAGACACTAAATAATAAAGTCGTGCATGCCAAGGCCCACGCGTCCAGTGCGTTGGGCGGAGCAGCGCTTCGTGGTGAGCTCGGGCAAGTGTTGTCACACGTGAGGCCAGAGAACACAGCAGAGGAAGAGGAGGACGTCGTGGTTGAGGAGGAGGAGGAAGAAGAGGGCCAAGGGGCTGCCTCTCCTGAGGCGCCCGAGTCCGAGCAAGATCAGCCAACGACGAGTGCAAAGGCCGCTGCCTCAGGCGCGGAGCCAGTCCGTCCGGTCATCATGACCCCGGGTCCTGGTGCCTTCATCCATCGGCACTTAACACCGTTTCCCCTTCGTAGGACTCAATGGGACCGCGAACACGAACCATCGGTGCCACTTGAAGA